GCGGGTCAGCCGCCAGCCCTGGCTGCCCGGGGGGTGCCCGCAGCCCCTCCCCCCAGGGGGCTGCCCCACGCACGATCCTGTCCTTGAGCGCGATCAGCTCCTCCTCCTCCTTCTTCCTCGCCTCGAAGTGGCTGTCGATGAGCGCCTGCAGCTCCATCAGGTCTTTGTTCTGGCGCTTCTTCTGGATGTCCTGCAGGCGGCACGTCCCCATGGCCACTGCCCTTCTGGGGACTCTGGGCTTCCAGGTCCCTGGGCCACAGGCGAGGAACAGTACCCTCCCCCTCCCCCGATGGTGAGCACAGCTGTGAGGTCACCAGCACTCCGGGGAGAGACCAGCTCTGAGTATGCCCTGCCACCTTCGCAGGGATGTCCTGCACGGACCAGGCAGAGAGGAAACCAGCGAGCCAGATGATGTGGCGGAGAGACATGTGGACAGTGGATGGATGGATGATGGGTGGATGGATGAGTGGATGGGTGGTCATGGGTAGGTGAGAGATGACTAGGTAGCCAGGTAGATAAACAGATAAATGGATGGATGGATGGATGGATGAATGATGGGTGGATGATGGATGGATGGATGATGGGTGGATGGATGGATGATGGGTGGATGTGATGGGTGGGGATGGATGGATGGACGATGGATGGATGAATGGATGATGGGTGGATGGATCAGGTAGATAAACAGATAAATGGATGGATGGATGGATGGATGAATGATGGGTGGATGATGGATGGATGGATGATGGGTGGATGGATGATGGGTGGATGGATGATGGGTGGATCGATGGATGGATGGATGATGGGTGGATGGATGGGTGGATGGAAGGATGGATGATGGGTGAATTGATGGATGATGGGTGGATGGATGATGGGTGGATGATAGATGGATAGAAGGATGGATGAAGGGTGGATAGATGGGTGGATCGATGGATGGATGGATGATGGATGGATGGATGAGTGGGTGATGGGTGGGTGGATGGGTGGGTGATGGGTGGGTGGTAGGTAGGTGGATAGATGGCTCAGTGGGTGAGTGGTAAAAGGATGGACAAAGGTAAGGATGGATGAGTGAGTGGATGGAACAGTGAGGGGGCAGATGGGTGGATGGTGACGGATGGACGAACGGGTGGCTGTTGGGAATATGAAGGGGAAGAGAGGAACGATGACTGGCTGGGTGTGTAACCGAGCATGGGCAGCATGATGGTGGGTGTGTGAGTGGATGTGTGCACAGGAGACTGAGCGGGTGGGTAGATGAAGGACGGGTCGGTGGATAGATGGATGGAGGGACGGAGGGAGGGGACAGGGCAGATGAATGGCTGCATGGGTGGGGGGCGAGAGGGCGGATGGAGAGATGGACGGAGGCGTGGGTGGACGGGCAGTGGGTGGCCAGGTGCGTTGACTGGTGAGCGGGTACAGAGGTGGATGGTGCGGGGGATGGAGGGGGGAGGAGGGAAGAGAGAGATGCTTGCGACTGGAGAGGCTTCCTTGGTCCAGGAACGAACTTAAGCAGAAGAGCCCGAGGAAGCCCCAGCTCCAGCCGCTGGAGAGATGGCCTCTCGGGCCCAGCCCAGAGCCCGCAGGCTGGGCATGGGGACGGGGGTCATCAACTCACATCGAAGTCCACCTTCTCGCCTTCCGGGATCTTGGGAGCAGTGAGTCTGAAGGAGAGAGAGAGCCTCGTGAGCAGGGAAAAGCGGGGACCCGCCAGGACGGTCGGCCTGACCCAGTCCGGCCTGGCCCCAGGCAGGCCCTCGGGCCCTCCTGCCCTGGCACGAGGCTGAGGCCACACGGCCTGAACTTTGCTCTCATCGGACGTATAACCCACTGTCCCACTGTCCCCGGCGTAGCTTAACCCCTTCGAGAAAGTTTCGGCCTCATGGTGTCCCCCTGCATTGCCAGATTGTGGACGTCGTCGAGGGCTGTTTCACCCCCAACTGTCCGGGCAGGGCACCCTCGGTTCCTTTTATAGACAGATGCCACCCAGAAGGCAGGGTTGTCACCGCGGGTCCTCCGGGGGAGGGGCGCGGGTCTCCGCGGTCGGGAGTGGGCCTCCTTCCTTTGCGTTTCTGTGGCCTCAGTTTAATCTTTCTTTCTGGGGCCCAAAGGAAGGGGTCTGGGCGGAGAGCCGTGGAAGCAATGAACACCACCCCCCCTTCCCTGCTGCAAGCAGCCATCGTCCTGCGCCCTCCCCCCCAATGCATTCCAGATGGAGCCAAGAGTTAGAAAGACAGCAACGATTTTTTAAAACAAGCCGTGGAAGAACGTGGAGCTGAATATCGATCAAACTGTTGGACGAGGAAATGCTTTTCTGAGCTCAGAGGTCCCGCTGAGGGGAAGATGGCCAGATGACTCCATGCAAATGAAAAACTTATGTATGTGAAAAAAGAGGCAAAAATTGAAAAGGGACGGGGGAGGGAACCAGTCCAGACTAGAAAAATATTTGCAGCAAACACAGAGAAGACTTATATCCTTATGCAAACGGGTGATTAAGAAAACACAGAGCTAGCTGCCTGCAGTCGATAGATGGGCAGAGGGCATAAGCCACCAATTCTCAGAGAAGAAAGGGGACCAGTTAACAAACGGGGGGGGGGGGAAGGTCTGCCTGCAGCAATCAAAGGAATGTGACGGAAACAGCCCCGAGAGGCCCCCCGTCTCATCCGTCAGCGCCTCCCTCCCCGGGCACGGCGGTGTGGGGCGCAGACCCCGTGGTGAGACCGCACTGGGGCCCCTCTCAGAAAGCGACTTGGCAGGGACGTCAAAAGCCTTCAGAACGTTCAGATTCTTTGACCCATTAATTCCAGTTCTGGGAATGCGGCCTAGGGAAATAACCCGAAAGACAGAAAATGCTTTCCACCCAGCGTTATTTATGATAGTAAAATATTGGGGAAAGCCTCCGCCTCCTGCACCAGAGAGATGGTTAGGAAAATTATGGTTTGTCCAATTGATGGAATATTATGTGGCCATTCAAAATATTTAAGAAGACTATGTAAAAACATGGAAAAATACTTATGAATAGTGCTACATTTTAAAAAAAGCAGAATTCAAGGCTGTATAGACAGTACGGTATTTGAAAAACAGCTCAGAGCTTAAATCTTTTTTCTTTTTTTTTCCGAGGTCGATGCATGGAAAAAGCGTCGGAAGAAATAAGCCTTTTTATTTCTCTCCCCTCCTTTCCGCAGTCTGGCTGGCTGGGTGGGAGTTATAGCTGATTTTTTTTTTTCTTCTTCATTGGACTTTTATGTATTTTCCAAATTTTCTTTAATGAGGTGTTTTATTTTCATAATGAAAACACAAACATTTTTTTAAAACTAGGAAATATCTTGGGATCCGGCAGCTTTATTTAAAATTGCTGAAAAATAAAGTGCAGCGGATGGAAACGTGCTGGCTCTGAGCTTCCCGCGCTCCGGCCCTCTGCTGACCGCCCCTGATGGCCCCGGCGGGAGCGAGGCCCGGGCGCTGGGCGGGGGCGGCCGTGCTCCCCCTCCCCCAGGTCCCACGAGCACAGGGGACAGGCTGGCGAGAGCCGAGTCCCAACAGTCAGATAAAACAAAATCTCTGGAATGTTCACAAGTGGGCGAAGTGAGCGAAAGACCCCCCTACCCGACCAGGAAGTTGGTTCTCCAGGGGCTCAGAGGCCCCCGGGCAGTGAACGGTCGCAGAGTGGGGGGGGGCCTGGTCTAGGCGTTGCTCTGAAGGGGGTTCCAGGGGCGAGGACCTTCCTCCCACCCACCCCACTCTCATGTCTGTTTCACATCTAGGGCCCCCCGAGACCCGACAGCACGGCGGGGCGTGGCGGGGCGCGATGGGGAGTGGTGGGGCGCGGTGGGGCACAGCACGGCAAGGTGCGGTGGGGCGTGGCGAGGCGCAGCGGGGCGCGGCGGGGTTAAGGGGGCCGGGGGACCTCCGTGAGGCCTCCCTCGGTCCGCCTTTGTCCCCCAACTCCCTATCTGCCTTCCCGGGGCTGGGAAGTCCTCTTTGCCTACAGCGGACGGCCCCGGGCAGAGCCACACCCGCGTGGACTACCAGAGGCCATGTCTGCTCTCCCCGGTGGGGAGCCTGGTCCCTGCCCGTGGGGGACAGTACTGGCCACCCCAAGTGATCCCACTCCCACAAAGTGCCTTGGTCAGATCCCTAGAATTTTAAACCCAAATCAAGGAGCAAAGAAGCGGCCACTTTCTCTCGGGGCTTTGGGTGCTGACTCGCCCCCCACAGAGGCGAAGTGCACTGTCTTCCCCGGGGGCGCCGGGGCCCAGCCCTGGGGAGACCTGGTTCCCGGCCCAGCCGCCCGGGCCCTGTACTCACTTGGGCCTTGGCTTCTCCTCTGCTCACCGCGGCGCCAGGCAGCATGGGGAGAGGGGAGAGACCGCGTGTGACCGGGGCGCCCACTCCTGCCCACGGACCCCGGGGGCCACCCCGGCAGTGCTGGCTGGGCTCAGGCTCATAGGGCCACCTGCTCGTCCGCTGAGCCCGCCAGGATAAGAGGGTCCCAGCCCCACTCTAGGCCCACTAAAGTCCCTGTGGGGCTCGAGGAGAGCTTGGGGCCGGGGACCAGGAGGGGGCCAGGGAAGCCCAGAGAGGCCGGAGAGAGTGGACAGTGGTGGGGGAGCGGGGAAGGGGGAGCATGCCCCTGCCCAGGCTCCCGGCCTGCTGGCCGGTCCCCACGGACCACCCCAACTCTGCGCTGGCCGGAAGCTCGGGCCCGCAGCGGAGCCCTCGGCCACGGCAGTCGCGTGCGAAGCAGCCTCGCCCTGGAGGGAGGCACAGGGCTGGGGAGCCGGCGGGCCAGAGCCAGGCGCCAGGCTGGCGGGCGGGTCCGCTCCCTCTCTGGGCCACCGGAGCCGGCCCGGGCCCTTACCTTCCTCCTCCTCGTGCTGCTCCTCCGTGGTGTCTTCGGGCACAAGCGCACATGCAAGAGAAGAGCCAGCGGGGCCGCGGGCAGCGTTGGCAGGAGCCGGGCGCAGGCACAGGCGGCACCTGGACCCCTCCCCCCGCCGTTGGCCTGGACCCCGTCCGTGCCCCAGCTGGGGCCCAGAGAGTCGCTGTCTCGGAAGGGGTGCAGGAGCTGGATGCGGCCATGCAGTGGGCACCCCACCCCCTACCCAGGAGGCCTTGCAGTGAGTGGGGGGCCCCGTGGCTGCTGGCCGCTGGCCCCTCTGAGCCCTTTCGCAGAGGCGGGCAGGGCCCACCTTGGGAAGCCGGGAGCCTTCCCAGCAGCGTGGCCTCGGGGCTGGGGGCAGGCAGTCCTGGGGGCCTGACTTCTGGGTTTTGTGGAGTTCAGACCCAGCGAGTCTAAAACAAAGCCCGTTGGAGCCTCGGGCCTGCGGGAGCCTTGCTGGTTCTAGCCCGGGGCTGAGGGAGCCCTCAGGCCGAGCCCGCAGCCCACTACGCCCCAAGGTGGCCTATGCCTGCTTGTCCCTGAGGGCGGGGGCTCCTGCCTCCCCCAGCGGCCTGCCCCTGACCCAGAAGAAGCTTCTCCCCCACTACCTCTGCTTCTGCCACCTTTGGGGCCTGCCTTGGGGCACGTGGCTGGCTGTCCAGGCTGGAGCCTGCAGACCCTCCCCAACATCCTGCCCTGGCCTGCCGGCCCTCTCGTGCAGGCCGCTTCCTGTCACCTTCTCCACCTTCAGGGCCCTGGGGAGGTCCTGGCTGCTCTGGCCGCAGCGGGGTCTGGTCTGGCAGCACCTTGACCCCCGCCCTCGGTCCCTGCACTGGGCCCTGTGGCCATGCTGACAAGGCCAGGCCCCTGCTGAGAACCAGCGGGGACCAGCAGTGTGCCCTCCTCTGTGCTGGGCCGTGGCCAGCAGGCCCGTCTGGGGAAGGGGCGGGGGTCCCGGCCTCGCAGCCCCTGGCCTGTGTGTGCACTTGGCAGATTTTCCCCTCACGTCCCCTGGAGCTCATAGATCAGCGGGGTTGCTTAGGAACTGGCAAACAGCCCTTTGCAGGTGGCCTGCCGACAGCCTCAGCCAGCAGCCTGGGCTGGGGGCGCTTCGGGGGCAGAGAGCAGATCAGCGGGGGGAAGGAAGGGCTGGGCGAGGAAGGGCTGTGGGTGCCTGGGTAGGTCCAGGGGTCCGGGAGGGTGGCCAGGACAAGAGCTGGGGGTGGTCGTTGAGGGTGTACATAGTCCGGGTTCAGGCCCAGTTGGGAGGCCCCCACAGCCCCACTGGGGTGTCGTGTGAATGGTGGGTCTAAGCAGAGGGCCAGCTGGGGCCTGGGCAGCTCCCTCGCCCCGCTGGCTGGTGTGCCCCAGGCCATCCGAGCCTGACGGCCAGCTTTCTCACGCGCAAGGCCCCTGGCTGGTCCGGGCAGCCGTCCCCACCTCGGGCCTGGGCCTGACCTCACACTTCAGCTCGCTCGTCCACTCTGCCACCCGCCCTCCAGCCCCACCCGCCACCTCCCCGCCCCGGGTTGCTGTCTGCGGCGGCATGTCGGCAGCCTGCTCTGCCTTGTCTCTCCTCTGCCCTTCCCCACCCCACCCCGGTAGATCCCGAGGGTCTGAGTGGACCCAGAACCACCTCCCAAGGCCTGCACCCCTCGCAAGGCCTACACTTGGCTTGGCTTCGAGGGTGGCTGCCCTCCCTTCCTGCTGGTGGCCTGGGAAGGGCCTCGCCCCCTACCCCTGAGAGCTCTCAGCGAGAGGGGCCAGGAAAAAGCCTGTCCCCCAACAGCCGGCCCCGCCTGAGCCAGCACGCAAGGCCTAACCTGTCCAGCCTGCAGGAATGGGGGCGAGCGTCATGCAGACGGGGGCGGGCAGGGGGAGAGGGGACGGGAGGAGAGCCTACCTTCCTGGACCTCCTCTGCGGCAGCAGCAGCAGCATGTGGGAGAGAGGGAGAGAGAGCCACTGTCACCTCGGGCAGAGGCGGGGGGGAGGGAGGGCTGGGGCGGGACGGGCAGGGCGGGGGTCGGATGAGCCACGCGTGAGTGGGTTATGTGGCCGTTTGTTCCTTCCCGGCCAGGCTCCTACTCCGTCCACACGCCCGCGTAGGGCTGAAGTCATGCCACATACCTGGTTCGTGAACTTCGTGGGGGAAGGAGGGCCACGGAACAAGAGGCAAGACCGCGGGTCAGAGGTCAAAGGAGAAAGGATCCGAGGTTAATGGGCACGGCAGCCACCACTCAGGAGGGTCAGAGGCCAGGGGCGGGAGCATGCGGGGAGCGGGCGAGACACGGTCGGCGTTGGCCCCGGGGGGCCACCGCACCCCAATCCTGCCCCCGCCTCGCGGATGGGAAATCAAGGCTCAGAGGGGACGTTTCGCCCCTGGTTCTTGCTCTTGTCGTGACTTCACTGGGGACGTTGGGCTTCCCGCCTGTTCTCAGGCCCCTGGAAGGACTTCCATGCCCAGGGCTGGGGCTGGGGATGGTGCCGGGGGCCAGGAAGGCGGGCCCTGTAGCCCGGGGGCCAGGAAGGCGGGCCCTGCAGCCCGGGGGCCAGGAAGGCGGGCCCTGCAGCCCGGGGAAGCATGCTCAGAGGGCACCCGGCCCCCTGCCTCCCTGAGAGGGGCGCCCACACCCCTGCCCTTCCCAGCCTCTGAGGGAGTGAGGGCAATGGGCTTCGGTCCTCGGCGGTCCTGTCCACCAATCTGAGCGCGGCTCCCGACCCCATTGTCCACCCAGAGCCTGAGGAGGCGGCCCGCCAGGGCAGGTTGGAGGGGTGGCCAGCAGGTGACGAGGGCCCCTGCAAGGGGCTGGTGGCCCTGGGCTGGGGTGCAGCCCTCGCGCCAAGGCCAGCCTGCAGGGGCTGTCCTTCCCTGGCCCTCTGATTGCCCGAGATCTGGCCTAGGTCCCAGACCTGGCTCGGCGTTGGATGCCTTGTGGGCTCTCAGCTACCTGCCCTGGGGCCACGGGGTCATTTAAGGGATGGAAGGTCCGAGCCACATTCTACTACATGTGGCCCAGCGGTCCGCTGCTGACCCACCCCCCTATGCTGGCCCTGCCCGTGTTGGGGAGTGCCCAGCGTCAGGACACCCCAGCGGGTCAAGCACTGGCCGGGGTTAGTGGGTTACGTTGAGGCCACATGTGGGGCCCCTTGGCTGGCTGGCGCCTCGCTGTGTCCTGGCCCTCCCCCGCCCCCCGCGAGGGCTCCAGCCAGGCCCCGGGCCCACATGGGGACCAGAAGTCCAACGTGTCCATACCTGCCTCATGGACTTCTGCAGCTGCAGGGGTGCCGGGCGCGGCAGCAGCAGGAGGAGAGAGGAGAGGGTTAAGCCAGGAGCACACGCATGTCCTTAAGGGCGGGGGTCATGACAGCCGGGGGGCGCGGCGTCACTGAGGACGCAGGTCGGAAGGGCGGACCGACTGCAGGGTGGGGGGGGCGGCGTCCTGGGCCCGACTTACCTTCCTCCTGGGCCTCCTCTGAGGTGGGAGCCGCAGGGAGCGAGGGAGAGAGGGGACAAGGACAGCCATTAGTGGGGTGCAGGGGTGGCAGGCACCCTGAGAGGGGGCACGGGCACACCAGGCTGCAGGAGGGGTCCCCAGTCCTGCACTGCCGGCCCTCAGCAAGGCTCTCCGGGGCGCAGGTGGCTCAGAGGCCTGGTGCCTGAGCCCTCGGCCCCCACCCCGGGGCCTGCCCCAAACTCTGCAGTGTCTGTGCACGGGGCAGCCTGGCTACGACGTGCCCTGGGGTGCTGTGAGCCAGGACAGGGGACAAAAGTCATATGTTCTAAGAAAATGCCACCCCAAGGAGGACGTCCAGGTGGGCCGGTGGCCTCCTAGCGTGCCCGACACTGGGTCCTAGAGGGGACGTGTGCGGGGGACCCTGCCCGCCGGCCGCACTGCCTTCCCCGGGAAAGGGGAAGCTCTCGGGACCGCGTTTCCTGCTCAGAAAGAGTCTTTCCACCTTTTCAGCAGAAAAAAGAAATGTTTTGCTCGTGTTGTTAGGGGAGCCAAGTGTTTTCAAAATATTTTCAAAACACAGCGCCCCGAAGGCCTCACAGGGGAGCCTGCTCGGCGAGGCACGTGAACGCACCCCAGGCTGAGCGGGCGCCAGGGCTCGGGGAGGGCCTGGGAACCCCCCGAGCCTGGGAACCGCCTCCCTGCATGGCTCCCAGGTGTGCCTGCCTGGGCACGGCGGAGGTTCCCACAGGCGCCAGGCGGGCCTGGGGGGAGGGGGCTGCTGGTCACGCCTGACGGTTACATGCTGTGTGAGGAAGGGGAGGGCCCCGGGCGATGGGGAGGGGGGACGGAGGGACACGGGGACAGGGACAGGGACACAGGCACAGGGACAGGGACGGGGACACAGGCACGGGGACAGGGACAGGGGCAGGGACAGAGACAGGGACAGGAAGGCCTGCACGCCCAGGCCCTGACTTCGACGTGAGCAAGCCTTGGCGGCTGACCCCAGGGCACACACCATGGACGCGAGGTGCAGGGTTAATGAGTGACCGATGAGTGTTTGCTCGTGGTCCATTAAAGGGACGGGAGGTTAGTGTGGTGGTTAATTGCTGAGCCTGGAGGCCCCCGGAGTCCTGTGGGGCGTGAGGAGCGGGCGGAAGGGGTCGAGGCCCGGGTGGGGGCTCGGGGGCCTCCCTACTTACCTTCCTCCTCGTACTGTTCTGCAGAGAGACAGAAGGAAGGGGAGGGGCTCGTTAGCAGGGCGCCCCCCAGGCAGGCCCGGATGGCGACAGCCACTGGGGTCCTCAGGCCCCAAACAGGCCACTGGGCGCCAGGCGAGGAAGAGGCTCTGGCAATGGCGGTGGCTTTCGGGGAGGGTTCGGAGCCCCGGGCGCCCCTGTCCTACTGGGGGAGTGAGCAGGGAGCGGCCAGGCCTGGGGGCCCCCAGCTGGGGCTCCCTGGGGCCAGGCTGGGGGGTGCGCGCGGGGTTCAGGTGCCACTGCGTCCCGGCACCGTGACCTTCAAGGCAGAGGAGGCCTTGGGTGCGGGGTCAAGAGTGAGGAGCCCACCGCAGAGGGGGTCACTTTGGAGCCCAGTGACCAGGGCCAGTCCGGGGCGAGATGAGATGCGGTGCTGGCCATCGGCCATCGGCTATCGCCATCGGCGGCGTGCTTCCCCAGGGACCATGCACGGGGAGGAGGTGGCTCGGACACTTACCCTCCACCTGTTCACTGTGGGGGGGCACAGAGAAAGGGGGGGTGAGGGGCTTTGCTCATCCTCGCGAACAGCAGCGCGGCCTCGGCCTCTGAGCACGGCGAGGCCCAGGGTCCGCAGGCGAGAGGGGCGCCACGCGGATACTCACGCTTCCTCGTCAGACATGGCGGAGGCTGCTCCTGCGGGGGAGGGGGAAGGGGGGAGACCACCGGCGTTGAGTCTCTTTGGCCCAGAGGTGCCGGCATGGGTGGGGGCTGGGCGTGTGAGGGGATGGCTGCGGCCGGGTGGAGGGCCCCGTCCCCAGCCTTGGGTGGGCCCGCTCCCGCGCCCCGGCCTCCGCGAGGCCCCTCACTTCCTCTGCGGCCCCACACTCCATCCCTCCCGCCGCTTCCTGCCCTGGCTCCAGCCCGGGGCTTGGAATGCTGAGCTGGACGGGATGTTGGCTGTGCGTGGCGTCCACCCCCTCCCAGGGCAGACATGTCCTCTGCAGCGTGCCCGAGGAGGGCCCTCCAGACTGTGCGGTGCCTGCCCGGCCGCTCTGGACACAGCGGCCATCCTGTGGCGCTGACCCGAGGCTGCCCTTTTGCTGGGGTGGGGGCTCCCCCGGAGGCCCTCGATCACAGAGCCCGGACCCCCGAGACAGGCGTGCAGGCCTTCCCCGGCCTCCCCGGCCCACCGCCCCACGAGGGCCCTCTTCCCGGTGTGGGCCCGAGCGCCCTTCCGGACCCATGCTGCCCTTCCAGGATGCATGTCCTCTTGGGGGCCCAGGGTCCCCGGAATGCCTCCACAATCCCCCTTCTAAAATCGCAGGCGTGCATGAGCTTTCCACCCCGTCTCCCCCTCACCCCACTGAGCTCACGGGGTCAGGTGGGGGCATTTCCTTGCATGTGTCCCCCACCCCGCCCCCACGCCCCA